GAACTTTTTAAAAATGCAGGTTATTGTCATTGCTCTTCCCTGTCTATAAGAACTTGATGATAAGACCACTGTTGCTGAGGACACCCACTTTAGTAACAGGACTTGGAGGAATCAAGCTAGTATTGATTCGAAGCTTCCCTCTTCTTGTTAGTTTTAATTATATTTGAAGATATCTTCAGGCCACTGCAGGAGAAAAGTCATCACCAATCTTATAAATCTGATCTGGAAAGATATGCCTATGAATGTAATAATGACACAAATGTTACGGAGGTAACAACCACTTTATTTCTCCTTTCTTTCTTTCTTTCTTTCTTTCTTTCTTTCTTTCTTTCTTTCTTTCTTTCCACTTATTCCACTCAAGGTAACTCATGACTAGTACTGTACATCTGCCCATGAACCTGAATTTGGGGAGCCTAGACCCTAGTAGTGAGTCTACTACTATTTTGCTAAATAGACATACTGTCAAACTCACTTCTAAGTAGATTAGTGCAGCTTCTCATCTGAGAAGTGACTTTATAATAAATCTAAATTCTTGAACTTAAAAGAATAGAGATGGAAACCCATCCTTGTATCACCAAAGTTCATTTGTTCTTTATATTAATTCTCTTTGTGTTCTTCTTTTGTACAGATGATACCTGAGGAACAAGTACAAAAGAAATAGGCAAGACTGTCTCACCAGCATCAGTAAAAAATCGGTGAAGGATGGAAACTAATTGTACAAAAGATGATGATTGTAGAGGATGAAAAATTGTCAGGCATTCATGCATAATAAAATACAGGAATGCCACAACCTTTCTATCACCAATACAGCAATAACACCTAGACAGTAATTGTTTATCAGCTGTCTTATGTATAACAGGCCTAAGCTGAGCATCTGCCTTACTGGTTTCACCTCGGAGTCATCTTTTGCTCTGTCTATGTTGTTTTCTCACTTCTGCTTATCTTTAGCCAGTTTTTTTCAGTATCTTCCAATCCTTCATCACACATTTTTGTTTGTAGTTCCTTTATTTATAGGATAAACCTAAAAACTAAGCTAAATACTAAAAGTGAGAGACAATTGATCTCTCCTTAATCCCATAAGAGAGTAAATGAAACTACAAGAAATTATGAAGAAGATAGACATTAAGACACTTAAAACACAATAACTCTTCCCAAATATTTAGCTTAGTTTATACAAGCTTATTTTATAAACATAAAATAGGACCAATATATTTTTAACCAAATGAATGAGTAGCATTTATCAATAGGGTTCTCATTCTTTACACCACACAATTATGCTTTCTGCAGAAGGCATGGATAATAGATAATAATAAAATAATTGAAGAAAGTACATGAAATTTCTAGATAAAACAATCAAACAGCATTTTAACTTATCCATGTTAAAGAAGTTACTAATATTAATAAGCTCCAGTTAATTTGCTTTTAAGTAGGCAATAGTGACTTGTAGAATTTTAAAACTTATTTATAAGTGTTTGGCCCATGAATAGCCATGCTTATGAGAATATATATATATATATATATATATATATATATATATATATACAGGGACAGTGACAATTGAATGCAAAGCACAGTGGTTGTCACAGGCAAGCACTGAGTGGACTGGGGTTATTTTTTCAGTCATCCCCTGTATTAAATTTGCTCTCAAAATCTTGCCCTCAGTCATGAGCATTCCTGTCCCCTGTGTCATTTGGCTCCTGGGATTTATCGATGGGCTGAATGAGAAGACAGATATGACTACCACCCACATTAATGTTCCCAACTTACAATGCTTACCAAATGCTATCCTTGATTAACTAATTGCAAGGAAAATTCGAGCATCCAAGTCTACCATTAGTTATTATGGTAGTAGTCATTACAAGAAATAAGTATTGTCTTCTTTTATATCAATTTGAAGAAAAATGTTTTGCAGAAAATATTTAAGTATCAAAGACAACTACAATGTGCTGAACACAAAACCATCTATATAAGAACATCAAATGCTTTATAATAGATATCATATATTTTTCCAAAGAATTTTGTTTCAGAAAAAAGCATAATATTTAGGAAGCTAACCAGTGAACTAAAAGCTTGCTTTATTTCACATCAACAACTGAACTAAATACTCCAAAAATGGAGAAAAAAATCTGAGATAAGGGAAATATAAAGTGAGGCTTTCCTTGTGACTCATCCTTTGTAAATATAAGTAAAGAAATATTTGGGGGTATATGTTTAAAGATATGACACAGCCTAAACATTAAAAGGAAAAAGGAATAACCACTATTTCTAATGTTGCATCTTTGTGTTTCAAAGTAACATAGAATAGCATTCTATTTTAGAAAAGGGAATCCTGAAACAGTAATTCCCTATATAAATTTTAAAATCTGAAAATGATAGAAGTCACCTTAACAATAATTTATTAAAATGAATCAATGTGTGTGCTTGAATGAAATATACTTTTAGCAAGTCTGAATTCTTAAAATGAGTAAATTCACACTAGATTTTGGGAGGTTATACTTTAATATATATATATATATAAAACCCAGTGAATTGAAACACACCACAAGATGGAAACCATTTGTATCTATCAGAAAATTGCTTCCATGATACCTGATTTTTACACAAATTCATTAATAGCGTTTTCATTGAAATACAACTTCTCAATACCTAGTATATATCTGATGAACACACACGCAATAATTTAAAACATGTCCTAAAGTATTAATTTCATACAGTCTGTAACATTTCATTGCCTTTCTGAATAGTCTAAGCAACACAGAAGAATAAAACCAATATATAATAGCTATTTTATTTGTCATTTAACAGAAAGATTTCAGTACATCAATGGAGTCAACTTTACATTCCAATTTACATTATTATTTTTTTTAATTTTGGAAAACCATAAGTTTAGGGGTTAGCATGTAACATTTTGATATAAATATACAGAGTGAAGAGACACAACCCAGTTTTAAAGATAACTGCCAATATTTACCTATCATCAAATGTGATTAATTGAGCTAGTTGGCTCTTAGCAACATCTCCAGCAAGGGAAATTACTATAAGCTAATATATCTTGATTGCAACAGTCTTTATTGTCTCTCCACACTCATTTTGAATCAGGCCTATAATAAACAGCTAAGTTGCAAACAGAAATATTAGGTGTCACTCAAGGGGTCTACTATTTCCAGGCACAAATCGAGTTTTCAATTATTCTTAAGGTAATTTGAAGCCTTCCATTATATAATACTCCACCAAATTCTGTAATGCTTTCATTTAAGAATCCAGTTAGGGTTCCTTAATGTATGTAACTTATAAAACAAATGAAAAGTAAATCAAAGCAGATGAATAAAGTCCTTGATTCCTGAAGAAACCATGGGAAGCATTTGAGACCGGATTGTCAAATATTTGTTACTGAGTTTGCCAACGTAGGTGAGCTCTGAAGGGAGGCAACACATTCCAAATGGAGTGATCTCTTCTCCTCTCAACCCATTCATAAAATGCCTTTCTGTTATGCAACGGGCTCACTCTGCTTGGTTAATGAACATATGTTCAGCATTAACCAGTTATACACAGAAAGGAGAAACAACATTGGTCTTTACTTAACAGTGTAACTTGGTGAGTAGCTCCATCAGGGGTACGTTCCATTTCTGAAGGCAGTAAGGCCAGGGATGTGATTAAAATGGGCAATCTGGTATGATAGTACAATGAATGGCTACCTCACACAGGGGAAAAGAGGGTCCTCGAAACCGAGCCACTCAAATAAGCAGACACACGTCAAGGGTGGCAAAGCTCTGAGATGAAAGCATAATTGTGTTTGCTCTTTTCCTTTGATACTGGGATGCTAATCGTAACTATTTTAAAAAAGGGACTTCGGAGACACTGGCACTGACTTTCTTAATGTGTCAGCTAATTCATGCGACTAATCCCCAGTTTACACCACTACCACGAACCTAGGAAGCCGAGAATATCAAATCCAACAAGATATGGTCTGTTGTGACTTGGTTAGATCGGAGTTTTCATTTTCCACTCTCAGTCTCCTTTCGGAGCCCAGAAAGATACTGAACCACCCTATCTTTCATCAAGACATCCCCTGAGAGACTGGAGAAACCCCTCTCTCTAATGCTCCCGAGACCACTCTTTCTTTGTAGACCCACCTGCATGGGCGCCTCGTGTCTCATTGTAGGCAAGTGTCCTTTCTCTCTTGCTAGGGAGGACAGCGCTGGTCCGGGCGTCTGGTCAAGCGTGCACAGCCCGCGCGCGCCCGGCAACACTCCACATGCGTGGGGCTCTGCAGCCCGACCCACATCAGCACCGGAGCTGTCCGCTCCTGACTCGGCACAGGCGTGCTGGCCACGAAGCCCTTGCCCTTCTGGGAGTTGTAGTCTAATCTGAAGAGGCATCTGTGTAAACGGGGAAACCGTGAACTACAACTCCCAGAGATCCAGCGGGCTTCCCTCAGGATCCTCTCTCCAGCTGCACTGGGCAGAGGCGCCTCCCTTCTCTTTCCCAGTTACACGGGTTGCTATCGCTCTCATCCTGCCTGACCATTTCCTCAGAGCACTGGCGAAAAATGACACGAGTTCATCCCAAACAAGGACCTCCTCTCCTCAATGTCGCGTTTGAAAGCCAGACTGTATCTCTCTGGCTGGGTAACGGTGCACTTTGTTCTAATCTCCAATGCAAACGGGCGTTTACCTTACCTCTATCCTGAACCCGAAAAGTTTATCCACACCTAGAGTGGAGTAGTTTTACAGTCTTATTCAACAATCACGCGGGAAAACGACCACGAATGGCACACATATAAGAAAAGAGGTTCGTGGGCACCACAGCATTGAGTAGATCTTCAAACAGGCAGACGTGAGCACGCGCGCGCGCGCGCGCACACACACACACACACACACACACACACACACACACACACACACACACACACACACACACACACACACAGACCCCAGTGTCCCCAAAAGCCAGATTTCTGGCTGAGCCCGCGGAGGCACTCCTTTCTGTTTTCTGTTTACCTTTCCATAGAGCTCCATAGCAGCCGAGGTTCGGATAGCCTCAAGGAAGTCTTCCCACTCACTACAAAGGAGGTGAAGGTCTTATGCAGACCGCAGAGCACAATGGAAAGACTAGGAAGGAGGAGCGGTTTGTGCAGAGCGAATGGGGGATGGAAGGGACAGCGGTGCGGATGGGTGGCTTTCTTCTTCCAGAGAGGAGCCCTGTGACAGCTTCTAAGGACAGCTGCAGAGAAAGGGCTGTGAGTCTCCTAGGAAGTGCCAGGGGCACCCGCATCGGGCAGCCCCTCCAGGAGTCCTCCCAGCACACTCACCACCTGAGGGCTGCAGAGCTGATAGGGCACTGGGTTATTTACCCAAAGCAAGTCACACAAAATGAACACATTCATCACCAGAGCCCAGGAGCGCCTTCATGGAATGAGATGAGAGACCTCGATTAAGTTACTCGTTTTTTTTGTTTGTTTGGTTTTTTTTTTTTTCTTTAACGTGCAGCTCTTCCTTTATATCGCAATCGCTCTCTCCCTGGACTGGTTCATAACATGGTTTCAAGTCTCTGAGCCGTATGTTGGTTACATTTACTCTCTCCTGTCAACTTCTAATATATGTGACTCGTGTCGTCCTTCGCTGAGACAAGTCTTCTCCCCTTCAGAGTAGAAGTTTATCACTAGCGATGACCCCCACCTTTCCATGAAGTCAGATTTATGACATTAGATACAGAGTAAAAGAAGAAACCCTCATGATATTCTCATGCAGTCCGGCAAAGGTTAATTTGAGAATGCTTTGAACTTCATCTCATTAGATAGATCAGAAAAAAAAAGGACGTTCTGGAACTTAAATGTGCTGGAAACATCTTTTGGGGACAAAAATTATCCTTCATATTCTCAGACTCCATGTGGAGATCCTACTGGGATCCACATCACCAACATTACCTGCAGAAGGTCTTACGCAAATAATTCCTTTGCTTTAATTCGAGCAGCACTGCCTTTAAGGGATGTATCTGACTCAAAATTTCCCTCTAAACGCTCACTATTGCAACAATGATGCAGTGTGTATCAGATGTAGTAAAAACACTGACATCTTTTATTTTTTTGTTTTTCTCTGGAATCTGTCTCCTAATCTCTGATTAATGAGAATATAATGCGGTATCACCTTAGTGAATATTTTTATAACTCAAAAGAACACTTTAAAATGATCACCTCTTACATGAGTTATTTGATGACTACAGATAATTCACTTAAAATTAAAAATAGTGTGTAAAGGTGTTTCCTGCCAAGCCTGATGACAATGGATGGAGAGAATTGACTCCAGTAAGTTATCCTGTGACTTTCTCATGTGGTTTGGGGCACTCTTGTATTCATACACAGACAAACCCAAAATAAACAAAAAGTATAACATATAATGAAAGTGTTTTAATTCTTGTCTTAGTCACTGCTGTATTGCTGTGAAGAAACACCATGACCGATGCAATTCTTATAAAAGAAAGTGTTTAACTGGTGACTTGTTCACAGTTTCATCTGTTTAGTCCATGACCATCATGGCAGGAAGCAGAGAGACATTCATTGTGTTGGAGCAGTAGCTGAGAGCTTTACATCCTGATCTGCTGAGGGATAACCCTCTGTGCACTGTGATATATGTTGCTCTCATTAGATGATAATAAAAGCTGCTTTGGCCTATAGTCAGGCAGAATATCGCTAGTCGAGAAAGTCAAACTGAATACAGGGAGAAAGAAGGGTGGAATCAGGAGAGATGTCAGCCAGCTGCCAGAGCAGCAAGATGTACTAGACCACAGGTAAAACCACAGCCACATGGCATTACTTAGATTAACAGAAACAGGTTAATTTAAATGTAAGAGCTAGTTAGTAATGAGCCTGTGTCATTCAGTCAAATATTTTGTAATTAATATTAAACCTCTGAATGATTATTTAAAAGCAACCGAGGGACAGTGAAACCTCCATTTACATTGACCTGTAGACAGCAGAAAGAGAAAGACACCATGTGTGGGTCATGCATGGGTTTTTAAAACCTCAAAACCCACATGACAGATATCCTCCAACATGTACTCCAACAAGGCCACACCTAACCCTTTCAATCCTTCTAAACAGTTCTGCTAACTGGGAACCAAGCATTCACACATATGAGCCTATGAAGACCATTCTCATTCACATTTAATTACGAAATAATTAATGTTTCATCATGATAGCTAATTACCAGAAGGACTTCTAAAAACTTAAGACATATATAAAGGTGTATATCTTTCTACCATTTATTTATTGTATATCTTACACACACACTTGTGTACACACACACAATAGTGTGGGTGTTGAGATCAGAGTTTGCTAACAGAGATCATTGGTTTTTACTACCATTTCTTTGTGAAGGAACCCATTAAAATTGAGTTGAAGAACCTAGAACCACTAAAGATCTTTGGGGAGTTAATTCTGCCAAGAAAATAAAGTGAGCTGGCACTAAACATCTCTCTAAAGTCAAAGTACTTTGCTTTTTGCTTGAAATCAAGATGCTGTCTATCAGTCTTATGCTAAGGTACCGAATGGCAGCTGAAGATCCCTCTCTTGTGTCTACAGTCTAGTCAAGAATGAAATGACGTGAAAAAGCAAAGATCAATTCCTTTATATACTCTCCAATACTCATATTCTGACATACTGTCAATCTTATGACAACACCTATTGCAAAGTAAGTTAGAAACATCTATATTCTAGGCATAGTTGTGTGATGCAGTAAATTAGGAAGTTTAAGTGGCAAAAAGAGAAAAATGGTCATTGATGAACAGCTGGGACATCAGGGTGACTATAATAATAAGCATAATGGGGCTGGAAGAATATCTCAGTGGTTAAAAGCACAGGCTGCTCTTCCAGAGGTCATGAGTTCAATTCCCAGCAACCACATGGTTGCTCACAATCATCTCTAGTTGGATCCGCTGCTCTCTTCTGGTGTGCAGACATGCATGCAGATAGAGCACTCACACACATAAAATAAACAAAGAATAATAAGTGTACTGCTTCCATTCTTTTGCATTTATACCAAAGTGTAAGTGCATTATATAAAATGCACCCATTCCCGGAGATCTTTATAATTTAACAGCCACCAAAGTCTTAAAATCAAGAAGAACCAGAAAAAGATGAAAGCCTTTTCCACTTACATTTGAATCTGAGGTTATGAGTCAATATTAAAATGTGTTAAGAGAACTGGAGAGATGGCTCAGCATGTAAGAGCACTTTTGTGCTTCCAGAGGACTGGCGTTTGGTTCCTAGGACCCACATGTGGTTCTTGCAACTATCCGTAACTTCATTTCCAGGGGATCTGACACTTTCCTCCGAGCTCTGTGAGCACCTGGTGCACAGACAGTCTGAAGAAAAGGGACCACTAGATAATAACACAGTATGAGCACCTCACCATATTAGTGTGGAGTGACCTGAGAGATCTGAGACTCAGATGGTAAGTAAGTCCCCAAGGACCTCACAGACGCCTGGAGGGATGAATGGAGTAAGAGCACTTTACATTCTAACCATAGATACGTGTTTCTTTGCACTATCTCATGTCACTATTCAGATTCTGAGTTTTCTTTTCTACTCTACAACTTAATAGTATTCTCTGTGTCTTGTAAAGATCAGATTTATATAGTATTCTTTTGCTGTTATCATTCCATATTTTACTTCAGCTCTGTTGTTTAAGCTTTCTGTTAAAAGTAGCCAAGAGCAAAGCTAATATTAATGACACTATTAGCTGTATAAGAGATCACAACAGACTTTTTACTGACACCATTCTCACAACATCCCAGTCAAGACTCATACTTAAAACTGAAGTCACTGGGCGTTGGTGACGTACACCTTTAATCCCAGCACTCGGGAAGCAGGGGTAGGCAGATCTCTGTGAGTTCGAGACCAGCCTGGTCTACAAGAGTGAGTTCCAGGACAGCCTCCAAAATAATACAAGGAAACCTGTCTTGGAAAAAAAAACCTGAAGTCACTGAGGCTTGCAATAAGGATTAAGGACACTTCCTGTATGCCTCCCTCATACAGGCCTGACTCAAATCCAGTCTGATGCTGTACCTGGGTGTCTAACCTTAAACACGATTGAGACTGTATCCACCTGAAAGGGAGATTCTTTGGCCTGTACACTATTACCCCTGCCTGGCTGCACATAGTGAGTTGTCTTCAATTCCAACCTTATTTCAAGTGCATATTATGAAAAGCTATTGATTCTCTCAGGTTCTCTTTAGAAGAAGTTAAATATCCCCATGGTGCTATTGATTTCCTTGAAATTAAAAAGAAAATTATTTTAACTCATTCCTGCTCATGAAGTATCCAACATTATACATAACCAATATGAATAAAATGTCTTGTGAAAAAGAAATGCCCTCCAAGTGAATATAAAACAATGCTGATTTCTTTCCATACCATAGACACTTTACAACTGCTACCCTTTTAAAAATACCAATGCCATGGCAGGCACTTTGTCTAGATTCTTCCATTTAATTGTTCATAATGTTGAAAGGTGATGTTACAGCCTCATTTTACCATCAAGAGAGGGTATGCATTTTGCTTAAAGACACTGGTTAGGATGATTGGTCCAGGCTTTAAAGCTCAGAGCGATCTGGCTCAGAACCCAGGTTCTCAACTTAGTTTTTCCTCATAAAAGGTTGGCAATCTATTACAAGTTTTTCCAGTCTTGTTGTCCTTAATGCAGATTAAGGACATAACGCTATTATGAAATTACAAGGTTACTTAGAACATTTAACGCATTTTTAAATTAAAAAATGGTGTAGGTGGTTCATTTTGATTGCCAATGTGATTGACTATTTCTGTGAAGAGTGTTTATAGACAGACTTGACCAAAGATGAGAGAGATCCCCTGAGAACAGGTGCAGTATCACCCATGGGCTGAGTCCCTGCACTGAACAAAAAGTGGAAAGGAGAAAGACCCTCCCTCCTTATTCTTCCTGACCATAACCATGCCTTACCCTCCACAGTGGATTTCTTTCCTCTTTTTGTGAGCAAAAATGAACCTTCTCCCTCTAGTCAAATATTTGGTCACACTGACAAAAGGAAGTAACTAAAGCAGCCCTCCACCCTTTCAGTCAAATGTCAATCCATTTGACCTACTAGAAATATTTTAAGAAACGTTTTGCCAAATGTGGGTCTTTTACTGAAAAGCACACACTATATTTCTAGCTCAGATAAAAAGTGAACAATAAACAGCATAAGAAAATCGGAAGAGTAC